CACGTCTCACGTGGCCAACAATATTTTGTCCGCATACATTCAATTACTCATTACCTGACTGCAATTCAATTACTCATTACCCTCGTCACGTTGTGACCATCTTATACATACCAGACTACCCCCAATCTGTCTCCTGACAATTCACGAAGGAACAGAATATTTCTAGAAGGAGGTGGCGTGATACTTGTCACGTGACCTCGCTGACGCAACAATATCATCTCTTTAAACAAGTAAGTTTTTTAATTCTGCTGTTCTTTTAATTGCACACTCAGTTATATATGTCTTTTATTTGATAGTGAAAAATGGAAAAACAAGTTAATTATTAGTAAGAAAAATAGTTTGTTGGGTAGATGGAATCTTTCAAAAACATGGGGGTCCTTGGTAGTGAAAAGGTTGGGAACCGCTGCCTTATAGTGATGGCAATCAACGAGACACGCATTTGGCATGTAATGCTGTTTTAATATAAGAAACAACGCCTCTGTAGCCACAAAGAAGTTTATGGAAATGTTTTGAACGTTCGAAAGTGTCAACGATGGTTCAGCAAATTTCGTTCAGGTGAGTTTAGCCTTAAGAACTGTGATGGCAGGGGCCGACATGTTGGAATTGATATTGATGCTCTGGAGACGCTTGTTGAGTCTAACCCAAGGCAACACACACTCGTGAAATTGTATTTCTCTCGTTTGTTTTCGTTTTGTTTTTGAATTTCGCGCAAAGCTACACGAGGGCTATCTGCGCTAGCCGTCCCTAATTTAGCAGTGTAAGACTAGAGGGAAGGCAGCTAGTCATCACCACCCACCGCCAACTCTTGGGCTACTCTTTTACCAATGAATAGTGGGATTGACCGACACATTATAACGCTTCCACGGCTGAAAGGGCGAGCATGTTTGGTGGGTTGGAGATTCAAACCCGCGACCCGCAGATTGCGAGTCGAGCACCCTAACCACCTGGCCATGCCGGGCCTATTTCTCTCGTAAAACAATACGTACACATCTAAGGAATATGGGAAAACACTATAAAGAAGGTGTTTGGGTGCCTCACAAACTCTCAGATGACCATTGTTTCTAATGTGTGAATGCTGCTTCGTCTTTCTGGCGCGTAATGAGCGTGAAATATTTTTGGACAGAATTTTCACCAGTGATGAAAAATGGATTCTCTCTGCGAATACTAAACGCCAAAAAACAATGGCTCGGTCCTTGACAAAAAACACTTGTGACCCCAAAACCTGGACTCCATTCGCAGAAAGTGATACTTTGCATCTGGTGGGACATCAAAGGAGTAATTAATTTCGAACGCCTTAAACCAAAGAGAACTGTCAATGCAGAGATATATAGTCAGCAACTGGAACGTTTAAATCAAATCCTTCATCAGAAACGCTCTTCACTCGTCAATCAGAAAGGTGTTCTTCTTCTCCACGACAATGCACGTCCAAATGTGGCACGTTTGACGCAACACAAGATTATTGAGTCGGGTTGGGAAGTTCTCCTCTACCCACCATATTCTCCAGATATGGCACCATCTTTTGCGTTCGCTGCAACACCACCGTAATGGGAAAACATATGCAAATGTGAAAGGTGTCAAAGAGGACATCGACATATTTTTTGCTTCAAAGCCAAGTGATTTCTTTAATCATGGCATTAACAACCTGATTGTAAGATAAGAATGGAGACTATTTCATCTAATAAATGTTTTGTTTTGATATACAAGTTGTTCGGGTTTTTTCATTTAAAAAAAAAAACGATATTAATTTCTTGACCACCTAATACAAGGACAGCATGTGGAACTCATTTTGTAAAATTTTTTGAAGTGTCTATGGTTCCAGACTTTTCTGACACCTTTTTTTTTATTACGTCCACTACATAGCTAGTGAAAAATTAATTTAGAAATAACACCATGAAAATTGTCTGATAAATCTGGAACACATACCTTTCATTTGTTTTTATGTGGCTTAATGAAAACTTGACGTTGAAGCATTATTCAAACGTGTAGTTACAAATTATTTGCTAATCTAGATAAAAATCTAGGAAAATCAATTACGAAGATGCTTAAGCTCATTATTTGTTCGTTTGCCGAATTTTGCGCATAGCTGATTGACAGCTATTTGCGCTAGTCGTCTCTAATTCTTAAATGATAGATTAGAGGGAATGCAGCTAGGCAACATCACCCACTGTCAACTCTTGATATTCTTTACCAACCAATATGGGTTTAACCATCACATTATAACGCCTCTACGGCTGAAAGAGGAAACATGTTCTGTGACGGATTTCGATCAGACCTGGAGATTACGAATCGAGCGCCCTAACCACCAGGACTATGCTCGTTATAGTAATATTGTGTTATTGTTTTTTCAAACGCAGTCCTATACACAAAACAAAACATTATATTGTTATTAGAGAAAAATTTCTGTACAAAACATTATGTCTTTTGAAGTGTTTGATTCTTTTAGCGCAAAACTACACAACGTACTATCTACGCACTGTTCACTGTGGGGAATTAAACCTAGAATTTCAGTTTTGTAAGTCCGTAATCTTACTGCTGGCCCTTCAAATGATTTCTCTGAAGTACAGATTATCAACAGTCTACATCAGCAGATGCTAAAACACACCCACACACATAGATACTTGTAGAGCATTTTACTAATAGTCAGGACGAGTACGACGTCTAGCGTCACTGTAGGAAATTATTAAGTTTCGCGTTAACGTTCACTAACATCCGCCATATTTAACTCTAGTTTGTTCGTTTGCTTGAACCCAAACGAACAGCAATGTCTGAAAATACAGAGAGTGTTATTTTGCGTATTATAAAAGATGGTAAAGAAATGCTGGTCACTGTACCCGGAACTCGTTCGGTGGTCGGTGAACGAAGTAAGTTACACATGTTTCTCATGCGTTTCTCGATGATTTAGTATATTAATGTGTGAAAATCCCTGGCGCTAGTGTAGAAACACGGGTAGCCAGACTAAGCCAGTGAACACCCGTATAGCCATAAGTACAAAGGATGTAATGAAACCCTGGGCGTGTAACAGTTAGTAACAACTACAACAAAAAATACGAATTCGTGAAATTTTCAAAAGAAAGTGACCGTGCAAAATGTATTATCGTTGAAAAAATCAAAAACCAACTTGAGTTATGAATGAATTGAATGATTTTGTTCATATAAATTATAATAAATAAGTCTTATAAATAAATTTAAAAAATACAATTAACTATTATCATTAATGTTATTACTGAAAGGTTACTCTAATAATTTATTATTACTAGTACTAGTAATTTGTAGCTCTAGTAGTAGTACCAGTATTATCAAATGATATGCGTTGTAAAACTATTATTACTATTAGCTAAATTAGTACGTACTACTTAGTTCATACGCGTTTCAATCAGGATCACTGGAAATAGGGTGTGAACTATAAACTCGGTATGTAAAAATAACTTATTAATACGAGAAGTAGTATCACAAGTAAGTTTGCATTTTAAATCGTACTAATAACTGTTTGTATGTATTGAATTTAAAATTACAAATAAGTGGTGTATAAATACATGTTTTACTTCCTCAGTTTGTTTTTTTATGTGTATGTTATGACTGAATACAACATTTAACATAGGCTTATCCATACTAATTAGTTTGCCTAATTGCTTTAATTTGTACTGGTGTAATCAAATTAGTCTTTATATTCATAAACTATGTGGTGATGGTGGGGGAGTATAATAGTTTAACTTGAAAGGCAAGTTAAACTTTTATTAAAGGTTTGAATAAATATTAAGAATAAGACCTTTTAATTCAGATGATAAACTTTACCAACAGTGTTGTTTTGTTATTATTAACGTTTGTGATGGTAATGATTGAGATGTCAAAAATTCCATGACCTGGCAGTTCAGTTGGTAGAGCAATTAAACAGTAACCAAGGTTCAAATCCTGACTAGAGTAGCTGCTTTTCATTCTGATCACTTATATATGGGAAGGTTTATTGTAGTTATATATGTAATGTTTTCAATCACATTATTGTCAGGTGAACAAAATGAGGCAGCAGTTCTAACCCATCATGAAACTGTGCCAGTAAGTGAAGAAGTGAGTGTAGTTACCCAAGAATGCCAACCAGGAACCTCTATGTCAGAATCTTTACAGACATCTCCAGATTCATTTGAAAGCAGTATTAGATATGAATGGAGTGATATTGAAACTCGACGTTTAATTGATTTAATTTCAGAAAGGTATGAAAGGCTAAAAAATGCAAGAAACAAAAAAAGAGTGTGGAAAGAAATTTCTGATACCTTAAATAAAGACAAACTAAGTGAACCCTATGTAACAATTGACAAATGCATTGAAAAATGGAAAGCTTTAAAAAAGGGTTTTCGAAATCATATTAGAACTCCAAAGAAAGTTGGAGACCCCCGTAAGTTTGCTTATGCAGATTGTATGCACAGGTTAATGGGTCAAGACTTGTCTGTCATGTCACTAGTAACTGTTGATGGAGAAGGAAATAATGTTACAGTAGAAAATCCTTCATTACCAAACCATCAACAAGATGAAGAAGATTCTTCACCTCCTCCTGCAAAACAAATGAAACTGATGAGTGAAAAAAAATACCAAAGGCAGTTTATCACAGACTTAAAACGAGTTTTGCAAGAACGGGATGAACGACTGATGAATTTCATATCAACACTTCATAAAGAGAACACTGCACTTTTGAATAAGCTTATTGACAAGTTGTAATAATTTGTACATGAATTAAGTATGTATATCAGGCTAACTCACTGTTAATAAACAACTGATGTAATTTTTAAATACGTGAGTTAACCAAGCAAACCTTATAAACAGTTCTATTGTACAGTTACAAAATATTTTTTCTTCTGTATTATTACTTTAAAATGATAAAAAAAGGAATTATCTATATGATTAAGATTTCTACTAGTATTTTCTGTAAGTATGAAGTAAAACTTTTGTGTTCTTATAACATGCTAGTAGTTTAGTTATTGTTTAATCCCAGGTAGTACATGCATGTATGAATTTTTTATTTTTTTTGCAAAAATTGTAAGTCATGAAAACACTTAAGGTATTCTGGGGCATGTTCACTACTTTCTTGAAAATTATTGATACTGAAATAAACTAATTTTCTCCCTTAACAAAAAAAATGTTAATTTAAATATCTGAGATCCACCAATGCCTTTGAAAATATTGCCTAAGAATGGTACACAATTCTTAAACACTGCTGGAGGTTTTCTTTAGATGTATATTTTACCATGATTTTGTTAAATTTAAATAAAATCATAATTTTTTATTATAAACAATAAGTGATTGGAAAGAGGTTTTTTGAAAACCAACACATAATTTTTAATAAATCATTAAAACTGCAAGTAATGATATATTTCCAATTCCTAAACTTTAGGAATAAACTTTTCAAACAAAATATAATCCATTATTAGTTTATTACAGGGTAATTTTGAAAGAAAAAAAAAACAAGAGGAAAGTCAAAGCCCCCAGTGACTCAGCAGTAATTCCAAGACATAACATTAAAAACTGGATTTCAATACCAATGGCAGGCACAGCATAGATGGCCCATTGTGTAGTTTTGTGATTAACAACAAACAAACAAAAGTATTTTCACAAGCATGTTAGTCTTGAAATGAAACGGCTAAACTAAGTCACCTTAAATTACTAGTTAAACATCTTATAGCAATAGAGAGAGATGAACATTTTCAATAAAACAATAATAAAAAAACTATTATTTGAATTGATTCCTTACCTTAATGGTTAACTGTAACATTAAATTTTCTCATTTATTAATATAACCTGCTAAATAATAATGCTTGAAATTAAAAACTGTTGGTGGGTGATAGGATCAGCATTTCAGAGTTTTTTTTTGTCTATCAAAATAACATTTTTATAGTAACCATTCACACAGTCTTGATATTTTCATTATGAAATGCATCACTCCTTGATATAAAACAATAACTTAAATTATAAATTATTAAAACAGTGAATGCTCTTGAACAAGTCTGATGTCAAAATATATACAATATATTTGAACAGTAATTAACTTTTATTTATATTTCATGCACCAAATAAGAAGTACATGACATCAGACTTAAATATCCCCTTCATCTTTGGTAGAATATCCATTCAGAGCTGGTGTAGACTGGGCATCTTGCATACTAGTGTGTGTAAAAAAAATAATGTCAGGATCTTGTAAAAACCATAAAGTGGAACTTCTTGTTAAAATCAAAATATTTATTGCCTTTTGGTGCTACTATAACACTGGAATGTGAGATATATTATCCTTTGAATACTATCTCTTCTCAGTAGCCTCTTAAGAGTTTTTTTTAATAGCCTTGCTAGGTGATATAAACTGGTGCCATAGATATCATACACATCTCAGACATGGGTTCTTAATGTCTTGATTGCCTGGATACTAAGCATCTCAACTACTACCTTGTCTGTCATATCCAAACTGGCCTGATGATCCCTGGTACTGGACAAAAGGCCTTGTTGGCATTGGATATAGGCTCATATAGCAGATAGTGTGGTTGATATTAATTTTATATATTCTTTTTTACTTTCACTCCTAAGTTCTTAGAATTACTAATGCAGTCTTCTCCCACTGATGGTGTGATTGCTTGACCCAATATGGGAACAATAAGACTATCTTGCTGGTTTACTACTTATTCTGATTGATGACAAAAATTAATTCAAGTAATAATAGATAATTGTTTTTAAAATAAACAATATTGTGTTATTAATCCTTATTTGTAAATGATTCATATTAAACTAATAGAAATTACACTTCATCAACTTAATCTAGTTCACACCATAACAGTTTTTGTTAATACAATTTGATAATATAAATAGAGTTTCAAGCACAAATGCATTTGTCATATCTCAACCAGTTTGATGAGCCTTGATATTAGGTGAAAGGTCTCATTGGCACACAATACAGCAGATGTAGTGTGGTTGACATATTATTGTATATTCTTAGAAGTACTACATAATATGGCTACTTCTCAAATGTATCTAATTTTATGTAGAAAAATAAGCTTTCCCTTTGTTATTAATGTACAGCTACAATTCATGTGTTAAAACTTGTTTCTTTTAATTCAATACATTACATTGTGTGTATGCAGTATTTGTAGTTAAAATAGCTCAAGATTCAATCTCGTAGCATTAAATTTTCCAAAATTGTCCTAGGCATGTGCCACCAGATCCCCCTAGAAATGGCATGCTTTCATGCCAGTACTGTGCTTTGCACATATCGTGTCACGTTATTTGGCTGTGGCAATGGCCTGCCCACTCCAAAATTGCTTCCTACAGCAACGTTCAGGATTATAATCATACAAGTATCAGTTACTAAAACTCAGTATTTATTCTCTTTAAAAATTTACAAACTGAGTTTCGTGTTTAACAGTAGAGTTGACTAATTTGTGGAATTTACTAACCAATTAATTGTTGGGCTCTTTAATCAACCACATTCAACTAATCAATTATTCTCATGAGATGGCCAAAAAATAACAACTCATAATCCTAAAAATTTGGGTTTCAATATCCACAAAGAGCAGAGCACAGATAGCCCATTAAGTAGCTTTGTGCTTAATAAGAAACGTAAAGGCAAAATTTTGATTACTTGAATAGTTAGAATAATCAAAAATAGTAATAACTGGAAATTCTTAATTTTAAAAAGTTGATTATTTTTGAAAGTCATGACACTGATCAATTAAGCTGCAAAAACTTGAATTAATCAAAGCTCATAATGCCAATATTTCAATAACTGGATAGTTGGAACAATCAGAAACATTGTCAGATATAAAACTGTTTAGTGTAGATAGTATTATTAATTAATTTACTTTGTGTTTGTAATTCATTGATGTCGAGCCTATCGAACATTGTGTGCAATCCATTGATGTTGAGGCTATGGAGATTTCTATAAGGCCTAAGTGATAGACCTATAAATAGCTGCGACCAGATGAGCAAAAACAGAGTAAAAGTAAAGTCACATAAAAGAGAAGTTTGGTCAGAGAAAAGTTTAAAAAAAACAATGTAAAGTTAACCGTTGTGGGAGTGAATGGTCCAACGGTTGACATGTTATAATGAGATTAACAGTTTTGAAAGAGATAAGGAAAATAATTTGTCTCGTCAAAGGTTGTTCTAAACTAATTGAACCAGCCTGTGTGGACTTTGACAAAAGTCAGACTATTATAGGATGTATGAAGAGCAGAAGAGTATTGGAAGTTCAAGATACAACTGTGGTAACTCATGCAACATGAATTATACACGGATACTATTGCGATAAAAATAAGGGAAAAATACTTCATCTTGTCATCTGAATTCTAAAGCAATTGAGTTGTTCTAAGTGAACTTTTGACAAGAAGAAGAGAACCATATAGTGGTTAAGATACAACTATGATCTACATAGTGTAAAGAATTTTGTACATACATCTAACTTGTTTTGAATATATATATGTATATTATTTTAAAAACAAGTGGAGTGTGTATTGTTTGTTTATTGTCAACAATTCACAGACACCTGCTGTAGAAGAATCCTAAGCCCAACAGATCTATATATTTACATTACTGTACATACTACTACAAAGTAAGTTCCTGACACACTTATTTCAATTACTTATTTTACATAAAAATAAAAACCTACCTAACAGTCTACCAATTGTGAAGAAAATTTTAATGTCTCTACTAGATCACTGTAATCTGAAAAAATAAACTGGGATGCTTAAAAATCTACTTTTTAAAAAATGGCAAACTAAGATGTTCAGGTATTTAAAGGGTGGTGTGGAAAGTCTTGAATTCAGTACTATATTCAAACTGTTTAACCATCTTTATACAATCTCAGTCAACTTGTCTGATCTTATAACTGGGAAAAGGCCTCACTGGATATGGTAGATGTGTCATTGACATATAACATATCTGTCTTTCACTTCACTCATAAAGTTAGTAATGTAGTTTTCTCCCTTTGCTGCTGTGGTTGCTTGACCTATCTGGGAATTAAAAGACTAGCTTACTGGTTCACCAGTTCTCCAAATGAGATAACAAAAATGGATAATTGGCATTTAAAAATAAATTAATATTGTGTTATTAACCTTTACCTTAAAACTCCAATTTGTAAATTATTTGAAATGAAACTAATAATAATTAAAATTCACATACTTAATCTAGTTCGCACCATAACAGTGGTTATTCATGAAAATGGATATATATCATCTAGACCACTATTTTGTTGTATCCCAGCCAGCCTGATGAACCCTGGTAATGGGTGAAAGGCCTCATTGGCATTGAATATGGCAGAAGTGTGGTTAACACATGACATATTCTTTGCTTTCATTCACAAGTTCTTAGAAATACTATAACTAAATATTTAACCCTATGGAGATGGACTCAGTCTATTTGACTGACCTTGTAACCATGAAATTATATATATATACTGTAACTTTGAATTTACTATGTGTATCTTCATGAAGTTTGACAAGCTTTGAGTAAACATTACAAGTGTTGGATGTAAAAAATCAGATTTTTTAATAAAGTATGTTTACTAAAGATTTGTCTGGTAATATATAAAGCCTTTAGTGATTCAGTCTGAGTGAAAGGAATTTTCATTCTTAGAAAAAAAAAGTACTTTTTGTCACCTTAAAATTCTAAAATTTCATTTGTATAACCCCTAGAACCTAAATGAATATCAAAAATGTTTTCAGTAAAGTTTTACATTTTTGTCTCTTATTTTCTCTACCTTAACACTAAATGTAGCAAAATCAAATATACAGTGAAATGAAAAGTTGAAAATATGCAATAAAATGAGTAATACCATGTCTTTTATTCAGAATTACTGCAAATTGTAACAAAGAATTGTAAATTAGTTATTCTCACAGCTTCTAACCTTTCTTATATCTGCTTTCTTTTAATTTTATGGTTTTACTTTGAACTCACCACCACACATAAAAAGCAATAAATCACAGT